CTGCGGCTACCTGAAACTTTTTCCCCGCCAAACGTTTGGAGCTGGGAGAAGGATGGGAGGTTGGAAAGGAGATAGGAGCAAAGGAGGAAACCGTAGCGCTGCCAGCGACTCCACGAGAAACGTGAACACTGCAGCCCATGGGCGTGCACTGCTGGGCTGCGGTTGGATGGGAGATGGAAGGTGGAAAAAAATGCAGGTTCCCGCCCTCTAAAGTTGCATGAGACTTTACAGATCGTGGGGCAATACAGCTTTGCTCTCCTGAGAATCCTTCCAGCACCTGTCCTTTCTCTCTCAGCAGCGGCTGCAAAACTTTCCTCCGAGCTGCGCGCACCCCAGGTCTCCTCCGAGGGCATCCCTGCTCCTTAGGACGGAGCCTTCCCATTTGTCCAGAGTATGATGGACTCACAACTACCCCTCCCCCCCGCCTCACCCTCTTAGAGGCTCTTAATTTAAACAGGAATTGAAGAACTGGGCAGAAACAAGCCGATTCGCCGTGGGGCCCGGTGTATCTGTCTGCTGTAGTGCCCTGCAGCGGCCTCGCTGGGGCTCCGAGCAGCTGGAGGCAGGGTCCCCGACTTCCCGGCCCCGTCTCGGTTTCTCCCAATCTCACAGAGGGCTGCTAGCGCTGACTTAGTTCCCCAGTCTCTGCCTTGCAACCCAGTCCCCAAATTCACTCCTACCCCAAGCCCCTTCCCGCCAGGGGGCGCCCCTGGAGTGACTGGAGAGGGTACGGATTCTGACTACACATACCTTGGGACAAATTCAATCTAGGCTTGCCCTGTGTGACACGAAAATAGGTGGGTTTCAAGACCACACAGGTGTCAATCTCTTGGAGGGCTTGACTGATAGAGGACAGGGCTCTTCGGTCCTGAAGGCCTCAAGGCCAGACTCTCCTCTTCCCCAAGAGGAATCTGGCTTTCCCTTCACCACCCCGCCTCCTATTCCAACCCCGGAGCACGCTGGTGCAGAGAGGGAACCGCACAGGAGCCGCAGTCCGACGTCCTCGGGCCGCCCCACCCCCTTCCCGCCCCCCCCCCCCCGGGACTACCCACCGGCCACGACTAGAGTAAAGGGTCCCCAAAAGAAAGGTTTCCCTCAAAGACCCTAGACGGTGAAGCTGAGACGGGGAGCACTAGAGGGAGCGCACTTCAGCGCGGGTCTCGGAGCATCTCTTCCTCGCTTCCTCGAGAAAGCCGCCCTATTGCACACCCCCGGCCTGCGCTCGGCTCCTTCAGAGCTTCTCCATCCTGGTGCCTGCGGAAAGGGCCGACGGGGTTCTGCGGGATCCTTGAGGGGGAGGAAGACGCTCGCCAGAGGGTTCCGTTTCCATTCCTCGGATATCTGGTGTTGGAGAGCAGCGGTTCCCAGGGCTGGGTTGCGCTCTGGCTTTCGGCTCCCTGGGCTGGCTTGCCTCGAGTGCACCCAGGAACCCAGCTCCGTCTGGCTCTGGAGCCTACGCTTGGCTGAGGAAACCTCGCCCTCTACGAGCATGGGCCCAGGAGGAGATGAGGGAACCAAGGGCTTCATGCAGAGTTAGAGGCCTGGATTCACCGTTTCTACAGACCCAGGTGCAGAACCAGCAGTAACAACCCCTTCCGTCTGCTGTCGATTGTTATGATTGACAAACTCACACGTGACCTCATCCTTAAATACTTGGATCTTTAACACAACACAGTGCATGCTATAACCATTTTTACAGCTCAGGAAACAGGTGCTAAGGGGCTTTATTTTCTTAATTCAACATTTCTAGAAGCACCAGAAGCATCGAGGATACATAAAATAGGTTCTTGCCTCGAGGAAGAGCAGAAAACAACATTCTAGTTTATTCTGGCGGTGACTGGAGCGGCTCCGGGGTGCGGTGCGGTCCGTAAGGGCCACACCAGGTAACTGAAAAGTGGCAAAGCCAGGCTCCCATCCCAGGACTTCCGACGTCTCTGCAAGCACTCTGCCCACCACCCTGAGCGCTCAAAGACTGGGAAACGGTGCGGAAACCCACACAAAGCTTCCCAACTCTGTCTCCACTGGATCTCGGAGTAACACTTGTCACCAAATTACTACATTTTGGGGGTGATGTGTTGCTAATTTGTAAGCTCAACGCGCGTAGGTGCCATGTCTTATCTGCTGGAGGCTGGATTTTCCAGCCTGGCACAGAGGCTGGCAGGGCCGCCAGCACTCAATAATTGTTTGTGGAATGATTCACTGACTGCGATAAGACTCGGAGCAAAATAACACCACCAGGAAATAAGGTCGCTTGCTGCCCAAGAGGAGGTGTGAAGGACTAAGAAGGGAATTAGAAAAATGTGGGGGTGGGGGGAGCCAGGGCGGAGACCGGGCATTCCCTTCTCATCCCCTACCAGGTCTGAGCTTCGTCTTCTGTAGGAGAACGCCCCTCTAAAATCTCAAGGAAGTGACCTGGGAAGGAGGAAAGGGCCACGCGGGTGGTTAGCAAAAGGGGATGGCAATGCCACACATCCTTGACCAGGCCTAGGTCTGTACCTCCCGGTGTCCTGCATCCCGGGCGGATCAGAGGTGGCAAAGCATCGTGGGCCCAGACTGAGACCCGCGTGAGCAGCCGCGCCTGGGACAGCTCCGTGAGAGATCCGAACTGGGCCCTGCCCCGCCGCCGGCCCACTGCATCCACCCCGCCCCAGAATAAGTTAGTTGGGGGATAAAGGAAGATGCCCGGGCCCTACGGGTTGGACTCCGGGTTCCCAAGTATCCCCTGCAGCCATCAAGAAATTACTGGTTTAACCGGGGTCCGTCCTGTTAAAGACGAATCCGAGAGGCGGCTGAAAGAACACTCTGACTCGGCAGCGGTGTTGGGACCAGGAAGGGCCTCTCAAGGACTTTGGAGTTTTCTTGGATAAGCTCGGAAATATAGATATCTGCCTTTTCTCCACAAGACACTAGTTCTCAGGCTCATTCTTGACAGTGCAGTGCATGTCGGAAAGAGTGTAGAATGGAGAGTGTGTGTGTGTGTGTGTGTGTGTGTGCCTGAGGGCGAGAGAGCCCGCAAATCTAGAAGTCGGTGCCCGTGCGCGGCAGCGGGGGCAGGGTGGGGGGAGCAGCGAGGTGGGGAGGAGGTTGCTGCACAAGCCTGCTTTCGGGGAGAGGGTGGCGCAGGAGCAGTAGCCGGCCCACCCGCCCTCTTCCTTGGAGATCCACTCTGGTGCTCACCTCCCCGCCCCGATGCCCGCTGCATGGCTCCCAGTGCTTGTCCCCCCACTGAGCCCAGGGCGAGGGTGTAGGCGGGAGCTGCCAGCCACTTGCGCCGGCGCGCGCCTGATGTGGACCTGGAACTCAGCCGAGGGACCAGGGCAGAGGAGGCAGGGACTGTGGAAGACGCACCCAACTCACCCCTTCACTCAGCTTTAGGTCTTAGGGGCGGAGGGGTACTGATGGTGACGATGTAGGAGAAACCTCCGGCGCTGACACCGAACTCGAACATTTCGAAACTTCCAAAGCACGTTTGTTTTTTGCCCAGTCTTACTTGAATCTCACAAAAATCGTGTGAGGAATTACCTCTGTTTCTAAATTGCATTGAAAGTGGGAGAAACGTTCTGCACTTGGTGTTTCTTACACTTACCCATAGTATGACAGAAAGTAGAGGGAGAAAGGGAAAAAAGACGGGGAACCGGGAAACCCGCCCCCGCCGTGGCATTAAGACCTCGCTGGAGGCGCAGGCCTGAGGCTGGGGTCCGGCCTGCAGACGAGGTCCGCGCTGTTTCCACCGTTCTCGCCGACCGTTCACTGGAGCCCAACGTGCTCTGCCTTAGCTACTCCGTGCTAGAGGCTTAGACCACGACATTGACAAAAGCACAGCTGATGGGGTCTAAGTGCTTCCCGAGAGCGCCCCCCAGAGAAACTCCACTGGAAGAAGGGCGAGGAGCCGGCGCGGTGCCTGTCTTAGCAGCACGACCAGCGGGCGCCTCTGGCGGGGAGACGCAGGGTCGCTGGCTCCACAGCCGCCAAGGGGCCACACGGAAACGTGGGCCCACACCGGTGGGGGTGGGGTGCTCTGAGCTTTCTTCCCCCAGGAACGGACGCAGGTGGTGAGCAAAGCGAATGTTAGTATAGAAGTTGGCTCTGTGTTGAGGGGTGCAGAGCACTCCTCAAGGAGAAGATTCAAATAAAAAGCCAATAAAAAAACTTTCCTACTACAATTGCTGTTCATGGAAAAGGCGCCTAACCCGCCGAATATCTTTCAAAGTGCCTGTTCATCATTGGGAGTCCCTTCTCTACCAGGAGGGGAAAGAAAATATGAAAACAAAAACCAAATTCGAGAAGCCTCCATAACCGGCCCCCACGGTGCCTCGGAGGCCCCAGCCCAGCCGGGGAGCGCTTCCCCTCCCAGCCCCTAGGGCAAAGAGGAGGCTAAAACAGCCAAAGAATATAAAACAAAGGAACAAAACGTTTAAAATCCAAGGGCAAAAATCGGAGTGGGTCTCAGGATTTGCGGCGCGCGGGGCTCCGTTCCACGGTCTGCTCCGCCGGAAGGCCGGGCCTGGCGGGAGCAGGGAGGCCGACGCCTCGGCGGGGCTGCGGAGCGCAGCTCCTCCTCTTCAGGTGCCCAAGGACCCTCAAGGCACGGGGCTCACACTTCAAGCCTGGGAACGCGCAGACAGGAAACCCACTTCCTCCTAAGCAGTTCCTTGCTCGCAGGATGAGAGGCGTCCAATTGAAGCAGAATGATCCTCATCTACTAATATCCAGCGTGGCCACAAAGCGACTGGCCATTTACGCCGCCACTTTAAACAAAGATATTTGGTTATTCCCGGGGAAGCAAGTGCACTTTTGCATGGCTGAGCTCTGGGCAGAGGAGAGCCTCAGCCCAGCCTCCCGCCCTCCGGGCTGCTCGCGCCTCGGGACTCGCCCCCTCCCGGCCAGCCGGGCCCGCGGGGGTTCAGGCTCAGTTCACCCAGGACGCGCCCTGCCCGCACCCTCCCTGAAGCATCAGAGGGGAAATCAGCGTGGCCCTGGGCTCGGGTGCTGGGGCTGGGATGTCCTTGGAAAGTCAGCTCCAGAACCCCGCGCGTCCAGGCGCTGGGCCAGGGTCGGGGACACCAGGTTTGTTCGAGGTGGGACAATTTAAGCGATGGCCCCCCGCGTTCACCCCCGTCCAGCCTCCCAGCTCCCCAGCTCCAACCGCTAGTGATGTGTTCGTCTTGGCCGGGTGGGGGGGGGGCGGGTAGAGGTGGGGAGGAGAGCCGAATGTAAGGAGGGGGTGGCGTGATGCGGAGGAGGGGACCCTGTTCCTCCAAGAAGACCCTGAGCTGGGGGGAAGGAGGACGCGGGGATCTGGGACTGCCTCCCGCCCGCGGCCGATCCCCAGCTCAGCGCCCGCTGGGAATGTCTCTTGGGTAGAGGGAAAGGGGGCGGGGATCAGAGGTGTCCCTCTGACGGTAGCAGAAGAGGCAGACAGACTGACAGACACGCAGCCAACAGTGCGGCCTCAGGGTTCGTCCCCAGACTCTCGAGCTCATTTGGTGGCGACTGGGGCCCGGCGCTGCGAAGCCCGATGTGGTCCGGAGGCGGTGGGAAGGCTCGGGGCTGGGAGGCCGCGGCGGGAGGGAAGAGCAGCCCCCGAAGGCTCAGGTGAAGCCCCCAACCCAGCCCTTGGCCCCTTCCCTTTAAACACCTGTCCTCTCCCCGGGGGACCCCAGCGAACTGAGAAGTGGTTCACTTTGTAACTCGGAAAGTTGGTTGCAAAGCAGCATTCACCTTCCTTTCTCACCGCCACCCCTCCTCCCCGGCTACTCCCTACCCCACCTCTTGCCCTCCCACTCCCCGCGCCCTCCTCCCTCCCTCCCCCGCCTCGCCCTCCCCCGCGCGCCGCTGGCACCCCACAAAATATAGGGGTGGGGGTGTCCGGGGGAGGGGGGAGAAATGCTTCGGGTCGCGTCTCTGCCTCTCTCTCTCTCTCCCTCTCTCTCTCCCTCTTTGAGACCTAAAAATCCTGACAAGTGAAACTTAAAGGTGTTTACCTTGTCATCAGCATGTAAGCTAATTATCTCGGGCAAGATGTAGGCTTCTATTGTCTTGTTGCTTTAGCGCTTACGCCCCGCCTCTGGTAGCAGCCTAAAACCTGGCGCCGGGCTAAAACAAACGCGAGGCAGCCCCCGAGCCTCCACTCAAGCCAATTAAGGCGGACTCGGTCCACTCGGTTACGTGTACATCCAACAAGATCGGCGTTAAGGTAACACCAGAATATTTGGCAGAGGGAGAAAAAAAAAAAGCAGCGAGTCTTCGCCTTCCCCCTCTCCCTTTTTTTTCCTCCTCTTCCTTCCTCCTCCAGCCTCCGCCGAATCATGTCGATGAGTCCAAAGCACACGACTCCGTTCTCAGTGTCTGACATCTTGAGTCCCCTGGAGGAAAGCTACAAGAAAGTGGGCATGGAGGGCGGCGGCCTCGGGGCTCCGCTGGCGGCTTACAGGCAGGGCCAGGCGGCGCCGCCGGCCGCGGCCATGCAGCAGCACGCCGTGGGGCACCACGGCGCGGTCACCGCCGCCTACCACATGACAGCGACGGGGGTGCCCCAGCTCTCGCACTCCGCCGTGGGGGGCTACTGCAACGGCAACCTGGGCAACATGAGCGAGCTGCCTCCCTACCAGGACACCATGCGGAACACCGCCTCGGGCCCCGGATGGTACGGCGCCAACCCAGACCCGCGCTTCCCCGCCAGTAAGTGAGGCCGCCCTACTGCGGGGCTGCGCGCTGTGCGCGGGAGGAGCGGGGCGAGCCGCCCGAGGGGCGCGGCGCCTGCGGGCTGTGCGCCGGGCAGCAGGGTCGGCGCCCGGCAGCGGCGCCAGGGAGTCGGGCGCGGGAGCTGGGGACTGATTCTTCTTCCTGCTGGGTTTAGGGGTCCCAGAACAGACTCATAGTATCGGGACCTGGCGTGGGGAGGGGGGGGCAGGCGCTATAGTATTCCGTGTCTCCCAGATGCAGCCAACGGGCAGCTCTGCTCTGCGCTGCGCCGGAGACTTCGCAGTGCCGAAGAAGGTGCCTCCCCAACTTAGGGAGTCAGGGAAAAGCAGGGCGCAGAGAGATGCGGCCTGGCGGGGCGGGAGGCTGCCAGGCAGGGACGCGCTCAGGCTCCGGGGCGGCCTCTCTCCAGTCTAATCAGGTGGGAGGGCGCGCAGCTCCAGAGCGGGATCTAAATGGGCCAAGCAAGTGCCAGCACTGGGGCTGACAGGCGAGCGCAGGAAAGAGGCAAAGCGTCTGGGGGCTCTAGCTTTCTGAACACCTTTATCTCCTAAACTGCCGAAGTTAGAGTCTTGCCGTGGAAACCCACCTCCTGGCCTAGGCCCAGTTCGCCGCCGGTGGCCCGTTAACCCCGTTAACTCCAGCCAGGGTTTGGGTACGAACGGAACAACTGCACTTTTTGGGTGGAGCACTGAGACCGAGGGAGGTAGCAGGGGTTGAGGTGGGAGCTCTCCAGGCAGGCCCTCGACGGCATGGCAAGAGCAGGCGCCGGAGATCCCGCAGCTGGGCCTCTGCGGGTGAGGCGGCCTAGGTGAGGAGGGCGCCGTCGGGGCCCGGCCCGGCCAGCCGAAGGCGCAGAAGAAAGAGGTGGCCTGGCCTGGCCTGGCCCCGGCCGACGTTGTGCGTTTGTCGCTTACAGTCTCCCGCTTCATGGGCCCGGCGAGCGGCATGAACATGAGCGGCATGGGCGGCCTGGGCTCACTGGGGGACGTGAGCAAGAACATGGCCCCGTTGCCGAGTGCACCGCGCCGGAAGCGCCGGGTGCTCTTCTCCCAGGCGCAAGTGTACGAGCTGGAGCGACGCTTCAAGCAACAGAAATACCTGTCGGCTCCGGAGCGGGAGCACCTGGCCAGCATGATCCACCTGACACCCACGCAGGTCAAGATCTGGTTCCAGAACCACCGCTACAAAATGAAGCGCCAAGCCAAGGACAAGGCGGCGCAGCAGCAATTACAGCAGGACAGCGGCGGCGGCGGAGGGGGCGCTGGGTGCCCACAGCAGCAGCAAGCGCAGCAGCAGTCGCCCCGCCGTGTGGCGGTGCCGGTCCTAGTGAAAGACGGCAAACCCTGCCAGGCTGGTGCCCCGGCAACTGGGGCCGCCAGCCTGCAAGGCCACGCGCAGCAGCAGGCTCAACAGCAGGCGCAGGCCGCTCAGGCGGCCGCGGCGGCGATCTCGGTTGGCAGCAGCGGTCCCGGCCTGGGCGCACACCCGGGCCACCAGCCGGGCAGCGCTGGCCAGTCTCCGGACCTGGCGCACCACGCCGCCAGCCCCGTGGCGCTGCAGGGCCAGGTCTCCAGCCTGTCCCACCTGAACTCCTCGGGCTCGGACTACGGCACCATGTCCTGCTCCACCTTGCTATATGGTCGGACCTGGTGAGAGGACGCCGGGCTGCACCTTGCCCAGCGCACTGCCTCATCGCTTCCCCTCTTGCCCGCCACACACGTCAACCACCCGGCTCTCCAAGCGCTTCGGCTTTTCTTAAGAACCTGTCCGGTTTAGACCAAGGGAAAAAAAACCACAAAGGCCAAACTGCTGGACGTCTTTCCTTTTTCTTTTTTCTTCTAAAATGTGTGGGATTTTTTTTTAAAGAAAATAAAAACAACTAAGCGAATCCAATTCTTTAAAGAGCCTTTAAACAGAGAAGGACATAAGAACAACTTTCGGGGCATCCTTGAGGTGGTTCGGATAGGTTTCCCACGCCCGGACGGGGCAGAGTTTGCAGCGGGACCTGTGCTGGCTGTGGACTCGCAAGATCGCAGACTGCTCTCTGGGTACCCTGGGCCGGCAAAGTGGACTCGCCTGTAAATACCGGGGTTTCTGCGAAGGGGAGCCGGGGCTGGGGAGAGGAAAGGCACCTCCACAGAACCCGCTTGTCAGTGACACAAAGGGAATGGCCCCTCCCAGCAAACCCCGCTGCCCAGGCTCAGCCTGCCAGCCCTGGCTAAAACTGTTTTATGTTTGATGTGAACTTGTAGCTGTAAAACGCTGTCAAAAGTTGGACTAAATGCCTAGTTTTTAGTAATCTGTACATTTTGTTGTTTAAAAAAAAAACACCAGTTCCCGCCCCCCAAGCCCATCACATTTTCTATGGGCACTGACAAACCCATGTATATTATTTGGCAGTTCGGTATTTGAAACGTCAGTCTTTTTCTGTTGTAACTTATGTAGATATCTGGCTTAAATATAGTTCTTAAGAAGCTTCTAATAAATTATACAAATTAAAAAGATGCCTTTTCTGATTAAAAACCCACCTTTTGTTTGGTTTTGATTTGGCTTTAAGTGGCATTTTTGGTTGGGGAGAGCACTCATCCATGGCCAGATGGGGTGGGCATGTGAGTTGTCTAGGGGCTCAGAGGGTCCTGAACCCACTGAGGAGCCCTGGCCTTCTGCCTCTGAATTGAGTAGAACCAAACCTTGAGCAGCCCCGTGGTTTGGCAATAAAGGGGAGAAAAAGCTAAATTGCTTCCACGAGGAAGGAAAGGGAAAGGGAGAGAATGAGACCAAAGGACTAGCTTTTAGAGGCAGGCTTTCTGGGTTTTTTTTTTTTGTGTGTGTGCGTGTGTGTTTTTTTAAGCCTCAGGAGTGTCCACTGTGGTCTTGCACAGCTAAGCTAATAACCCCGAATGAGCAATTATTTTTACTGAACCAACTGCCCCTGTAGATTTTAACATCCATCTTTCATTTCTAATCTGTAGCCCGCTCTCCTGGGAATTAGACTTCAGTGGCAAGTTGTTTTCTAAAGTGGAGAATCTCTGCCAGCTTTGCTTCTACTATGAAATGGTTCTCCTCGCCCCAGGTTGGCCACGGATCCCCACTGCTCAGGGCCTCTTGGCCTCAGGATGTGACCCACTGGGCTCCCAGCCGGGGGACACCCTCCTGCCCCCATCAGGACTTTTGCTCTCTGTTCTACCAGTTTCCATCTCTGGGCTCCTAAATCTTTGTAGTAACGAATCTTTCTCTTGTTCCCAACTCTCCACCTCTCCCAACCACCCTGCCCCCTGTAAAAAATAAATAAATAAAAATCTTTTATGTTTCTTTCTATCTCTCATTTCCTGGTTTCTCTTTGGTGCCCAGATGTGGCTATTGGGGAACTCTCAGGGTTGCCCCAGGGCAGGGGTGGGGGGAGGAGAAGGTAGTGGTGGTGGACACAGAGAAATCGTATTCCCTAGACGGGCTGTTGTCCCTCCACGTCACGGCCTGATAAGCCTGCGAGGAAAAGTGACAGAGTGGGCTGTGGATACATTGCCCCTCCCGGCACTTTTTTTCCTGGGCCTGAAAGTGTTTAAGTGTGGGGGATTGTTTCATATTTACCATGTACTCAATTCTTGTCTAGAATTTCAACTTTTTTCTTTCTTGCCTCTTCCCTTCATTACTTTCTCTCTTCTTTTTATTTCATTGAATCTCCACTTCTCCTCTTGACCTCCACCCTTACCCTCCAGTAACTTGTCAGAGAATTCGCCAGGCCTCAGGCCTTGTTCTGTAACTCAAGTCCTGGGGGGCTTGTTCTGTAACCAACTTCCTGGGGGCTTCCCGCTGGTGGTGCTTTAGGACTGGGGACCAGGGCAAGCTTCTCCCCCAAGGACTCCGGCTGCTGATGTATGTTTCCAATACTCAAAAGAGACTCAGAGATTCAGAAAGGAAAGTTGGCTGGGTCTAGGGAGTGTGCCAGTTGGGGAATATCTCCTTTTGGAAAACGAGGAGACCCACTCAGGAAGTTTTTCCCACTCGGGAAAAATCCGGGGAGTTTGAACACTTAGGGTGGAAAGGACCACCATGGTCTCTGGGAAGGATGTGTAAGTGGTCAGGCCACCCAGCTGAGGCCGGGGAGAGGACTGGCTCTGAGGTCCCAGTTCCATGGGGGTGGGGAGCTTCTGATCAACCTGCCCTGTGCCCAGCACAAGCCTGGGTGAGGACAAGATGGGCAGTGCCTGGCAAATGTGTAGGGTGGCTGCTCTCTGCACCCTATCTTGGCCCAGCGCTGGTTCCTCCTGACAGTCACACTTTCCATGAGAGCTACTCCCAGCCTTATAACCCTAGCAGTGGATGGAGTTTCTATCAAAGGCATTCTCCTTGCCATCTAGAAAGAGACAGCTTAGTATGAAGTTTGTTCACTTGTCCTGGGGAAAGGTAAATTCTATGGCCAACCCAGAGACAAAATAGGGCTTCTGGGGTCCACCAGCTCCCGCTCCTAGCCTGGATACTGTAGCTGCAGGAAGCATCTCTGGAACCAGTTAGAAGTGTCTTGATAGGGAAATAGGTGCATGCTCGTAGCAGCAAATGACCGCAACCTAGGGACGAACCCCAGGCCCACATCTTGGTCAGCCTCTGCGAGGCCGATGGTGCCTTCTCCTGGAGTGAACCTCCCCTGGGTCTCCAGTATCTCTGGTTCAGGTCAGCTCTGGCCTCCCCTGAGGGAGGAATCAGCCTTTTGGGGACGCTCCTGCCGCTGAAGTGCCTGGAAGAGCCGGAAGCTTGCCCACGAGTGGCGGCAACGCAGTTCGCCCTGAGTTCCGGGCAAAGCTGAGCGCCCCCGCCTAAGCACCCCACCCATCCCTAGGCCCCAGCGGCTTCGGGGGCGCAGGGGAGATTTTGCAGACAGCATCCCCCCCTCTTCTCCCCCACTCTGCCATGTAAACACGAGGACTTTCTCGAGAGCCCTGGAGAGAGGCTCTAGTGGCTTCGGGGCCTGAAACCCCGGGCTTGGCTTGTTTGATGTTTAGCATCCCAGAGCGGTTCCCCACCCCCGCCCCAGCCTGGGAACCCGGATCTGTTGGTCAGAGACGCAGGAAAGCAGCCCTCTCAGCTGGCGGGCCAGGGACTGGGCCGAGTTCAGAGGAGGCGAGAAGAGTGGGTCACAGATGCTCTGCGCTGGGTGCAGGGAGCCTGGACTGCCGCGGCCCCCAGCAGGGGCAGGAGTGGGGCGGCTGGAGTCTTCAAGGCCAGGATGCGGCCGGAGGCAGGCAATGCCTCCGCAGCCGGGCGATGGCTCTAGGAGAGGGGCTGGCTTGGTGGGAAGTAGCTAGCTTGGGGCCCCCCAGTGAAATCAGAGCCAGGCCGCGGTCAGCTCTGCGGGGAAGCTCCGAGTGCTTATTCCTGGAGGCAGGGGAGGCCCGCGCGCGCAAGGGCAAGGGCCTGGCAGGGGGCAGCTCTTCCTGCTACTACTAGGGATTGGCCTTTGAGAGAGGAAGACTGGCTCCGGAGCCTTCCAGCGATGTTGAGTCCTCCCGAGGCTGGGTGAGGCCCAGGTCCCGCAGCCCGGTCTGCGACTTGGAAACCCCAGAGAAGAATTCTCAGACTTCGGAGGCCGCGACACTCTCCCAGCGCGCCCGCCGGCTTACGGGCGTCGGCGAGGGGCCAGCGGCAGGCGCGAGCGCACAAAAGATAGCGCGCCTCTCTTCCCAGGCCATCCGAGATAAGAGGAAAGGAGAGCCGGGTTTTCTGACTTCCAACTCATTAGGGACCAGGTAAGGTCAATGCTTTGTCTATTATGTCTTTATCTTAAAAGCGGGTCAATTTAAGATAAGGGATTGAAAAAAGTCCAGGATCTTGTGACGTGTGCTAATAAAGACTGACCCCTTTTTCTAAACTAAAAGGAAGCCAGGCAGACCATTCATTTTCTATAAACAAGAGAGTTGTGAGAAGCTGCGGTGAATCCTGATCGAATGTCCCCAGTCTCTCTAGACATCACTCCTCCCCCCCAGTTATTACTGGGGGAGAAGAGTGAGCAAGGATATTATTTGTGGAGAACTAGAAAGCCTGTTGGGAAATGTGACTCTGAGATGATACGGGTCTTAGGCATGGTTTGCTGCGTTGTTTGTTTCAAATACGGCTTTCCTTCAGAATGGAAGGAAAGTGACAGGCGTGAGTACTGAGAGGGATGGGGCTAATTTTTCCTCGTTCAACCAGGTACCTATAAGGAATCCCAGACCCCACCTTCCTCTGCCTCGCCGCCCCCCCCCCCCCGGTTTGCTGGAGTGTTCCTGGCTGTGCAATTGCATTCTTGCAGCTTCAGGCCACCCTCTGTGGGGTCCAGTTTGGGCTCCTGCCTCAACTTGGAGTGCAGAGTGTCTAGTACCTCTTTGGCCAGTAGGTTCAGTGTCCCACACAGAGCCGCTGTCTGTGGTGAGCTTGTCCACCCAAGTGGCTGGAAGTACTGGGTAGGAGTGGGAGCAGAGGAAACAGTATGTCTTATTCAAGGGGAGAGCCAGGGTCTGCATACCTCCCCCCCACCATGTAATTGTGTTTCTAAACTTTTCCTGATTATTCTCGAAGGAATGGAAGAGGAGCAGGCTCAGCAACTTGACAGCACAACTTTTTCCTCATTTGCAGCCACAGCTGAAGCAGCTGGGCTGCACACCCCTCGGACAGTAACCGAA